GACCCCCAACGAGATGGATTGGCCAGGTGGCAGCATAGATGGACTCAAGTATGGCAACAGTAATGAGATTGGCCCAGGATCGGACCTTGTTTCGTTCTGCTGTGCATAGGGTCGCTATGAGTCGATGTCGACTCGATGACACTTAACAACGACAATTCCCTTTAAGCCCTTTACAGAAGAATATTGTCTGTGAGTTCTGTGTGCCCCTGTCAATGATCAGTGGAACCTAACAGAGAAGTACAGTGTTGTAGGAGAGATGGTCAGTGTCATAATTGTTAAAAACACTGGCAGGTGGAGGCATGTCTGTCCTCTGCCTTATAGGAATCAGCAAGACCAATGAGTTAAACAGTGACTACACATGGATCTCACCAGATGGAATACACAGGAACCAAACCAACTACTTATGTGGACAGACAGTAAATTCAATGTCATCATTCAGAACAAGGATAGAGATTGACTGAAACAGACTTTCAGTTGTGCATATGCAAGTTCATGTTGAAGCTGAAGAAAATGAAAACAAATCCACGAGAACCAAAATACCATCTGAAGAACTGATTTTACACATAGAATACTAATAACTGAAGACCTGATGAGTTACAGGATGACATCAAGGATTATCATGCATGAAGAAAGCAAAAGGTCATTAATAAGATCAGAAAGAAAACAAAGATCAAAAATGTCACTTTGAAGACTTAAGGTGCTACTGACCCAAAGCATGGTATTTTTAATTGCTTCATATGCATGTGAAAGCTGGACAATGAGTAAGGACCAAAGAAGAATTGGCTCTAGTATTGGCATGGAATAGTAGTGAAAGCACCATGGACTGCCAGAAGAACAAACAAGTCTGTCATGGAAGTATAGCCAGAATGCTCCTTACAACTAGTGAGCAAGACTTCAGCTCACATACTTTAGATACGTCAGCAGAAAAGACTAGTCCCTGGAGTAGGACATCATGCTTGGTGAAGTAGAGTTTCAGAGAAAAAGAAGACCCCCAATTAGATGGATTGGCACGGTGGCAGCAGCAGTGGGCTTAAATTTAGGGATGATTATGAGCTTGGGACAGTGTTTTACTCAGTTGTGCACAGAGTTGCTGTCAGTCAGACTGACTCAACTACACCTAACAACATGGTAATTTTGTTTTTAGATATTTGTGGAACCACCACACCTCTCTAAAAGGGCTGTATTTATTTTATAGTCCCAATTTCCCCACATTCTCACCAACATTTCTTGTTGTTTTTTGTGTGTTTTTTTGTCATTGTTTTTTAATCTTAGTCATCCTCCTGGTGTTGTTAAGTGCTGTTAACAGTTCTGACTCATAGTGACCCTGTATAGGGTTTCCAAGGAGTGGCTTGAGTTTTAACTGCTGACCTGATTCAAACAGTCCTTGTATTCCGTTGTTTATCCTACAGCACCACACCAGGATTCTTTGTTGTTGTTAAGTGCCGTCAAGTCGATTCTGACCTATAGCAACCCTGTACGGAGTTTCCAAGGAGCAGCTGGTGGATTTGAACCATCGACCTTGTGGTTCACAGTCCAGTGCTTGTCCTGTAGCACCATGTGAGGAGTAGTTGGAGTGATGTGATAGCTCGTGTGGTTTTGATTTGCATTTCTCTGCTGGTAAATGGCATTGAGCATCTTTTCATGTGTTTGGTGCCTCTTTGAATGCCCTCTTTGGTGAAATGCCTATTCAAGTCCTTTGCCCATTTATAATTGGGTTGTCTTTTTGTTGGGGTCAAAGTTTTATATGTTTTTTTGGTTATTAGAATCTTATCAGATAAATAGTTTTCAAATATATTCTCTCAGTTGGTAGCAAGTCTTTTCACAATTTTAGTAATATTTATTGATGAAAACAAGTTTTTAGTTTTTATGAAGTCCCATTAATCTATTTTGTCTTTTGCTATTTGTGTTTTTGTTATTTAGATAATCCATTTTAATGTATTTATCAAGTCCTCTGCTTTCGGAAAGCAAGGCTATGCTATCTGCATATCTCAAGTCTTTAATGAGCCTTCCACCTATCCTGATGCTTTATTCTTCATGTAGTCTAACTGGTCTGTTTCTTTGCTCAACATCCAGACTGAATAAGTATGGTGAAAGGATATACCCTGGCACACACTTCCTGATTTAAAAAAAAACAGGAAGAACTCCAATAAGATGGATTGGCCAAGTGGCAGCATTGATGGGTTCAAGCGTGGCAATAGTAGTGAGGTTGGGCCAGGATCGGGCAGGGTTTCATTCTGCTGTGCATAAGGTCGCTATGAGTCGGTACCGACTCGATGGCACCTAACAACAACAACAAGTATTTCCTTGTTCTGTTCAAACCACTGGCTCTTGATCTGTGTACAGGTTCCTGTGTTCTGGACTCCTTTCTCTTTACAGAAGAGGTGGCAGTAGCTGCTTTACACTGAAGATGTCCTTTCTTGCCCAGGTCCTCCTCACCACCCAGCCAAGCCTGGAGCCTGGTCCTAAAGTGAACCCGTAGTACATTTTCATACCCACGCCCTCCTCGGCTCCCTCAGCCTCACTTCCCAGCCATCTCCCTCCCACTGGCTCCCACTGGCTCTCACTGGCTCGGTCTCGAGGTTCTTATCTCCTCATACATCTCACTTCCCTGGGTGAGCAGCAAGTCTGGGTACCAGTGTTTTGGATGCTGTCAAACTGTTGCCAGCTTTGAGGTCTCTGTACCCAGGAGGGTCTTGAGTGTTATATGGAATGAGAGAAAGGCCCGTGGTGTATATGGAACTCATTTGGAGACCAGGTCTGTGTGTCTACCAACAAGGGCCTCAAGGCTGTTGAGGAGCAACGGGGCCTCTGGTGCAGGATCCGGGGTGATGTTCGAGGTGACTTTCCAAGCAGGAGCAGTTGTCCTTTTAAAAATCTGCCTAGAAACAATGACGTGGAGAGATGGAGTGGTTAGGAACTCTAAACCCAGAGAGGGAGAGGGGCTGTGTGCTGACAACCAGGGGGCAGGCTTGCAGAGTATACCCTCTGGTTGGTTGATGATGCATGGAGGGGATTGCAACCATGGCAACAAAACGATATAGAATGAATGTAAAACTAAAGTTTTCCCTTGTAAACTATCACATAATTCACAATAAAACATTTTTTTTAAAAATCTGCCTAGTTCACAGGCCAGGAGTGACAGAGGATCTCCCTGCTGCCTTACCCAGAAGCCACCCAGCCCCACAAGGAGGTTAGAACAACATTCCTACAGGAATTGCTTTTTTTCTTCCCTAGTCCACCTTCTTGAGCTTAATGACCTCCACAGCCAGCGAAGCTGCATCTTATGAATTCACAACCCTGACTTGTATCCCTGGAGTCATTGAAGTAAGTCCAACTTTGTGAGGTATCAGAAGTCAGGGAGAGGGAGGGGTGCTTGTGCTTACAGTTCCGTGCTTGGCTCTCAACAGACGAGTGAGTGTGTGTCTGAGAAGTGGACATTTCTGTTGGGGTGCAGGCTCTGAACTGAGTCTTTGCCCAGCAGCCAGAATCCCCCAGCTCCTGAGCTGGGGTCCACTCTGGGTGTCATGTGTGTAGGTAGGCTCTTCCTGGGTGGCAGAAGGTGGGGTCTCAGTTAGTACCATCCTCACCTTTCCCTTCTCCTCTCTGTCCTAGTACAAAGGAGCCAACATCCAGTTGCTGGACCTCCCTGGAATCATTGAAGGAGCAGCACAAGGTGGGAGAGGGAGTGGATAAAACGGCTGGTGTGGGGTGAGGAGTGGCATGGCATGAGCTCAGGACGCAGCTGCCCACCACAGGCTTGCAATGTTGTCCAAGTTGGCTGTGGCTTTGAGGGCTGGTTGGTAGATGGTGAGACACCCCAGCTGCACACCACTCAGTTTCTACTTTAAGTGGCTTATGTAGTCCTAAGGGACCAACCCAGCCTCAATTCCAGAAGTTGAGGCCCAGGAAGTGAACGGACTCAGCTCATAGGATAGACATAACTTCCTGTCCCTGCTCTGTCCCCATTCCTGGATCTCTTTCCTTCAGACCATGCTCCTAGTGCTCTCGTCCTGCCAGGTTGTATTTGTTTTTTGGTTTTAGTTTTTAAGATGTGAACCTCGTGTGGCCCTGGTTACAGGTGACCAGTGGCTGGGAGAGTATGGGGCAGGCTCTGGTAGCTTCACAGGGATGATTAACAGCTTGAGATGGGCACGTGCCAAGTGCCAGGCCTGCTGCTGACCATTGTCTCAGGAACTTCCCAAGAACCCTGTGATGGTAGGGGAGGGGGGACTTTCATTGGTTCTGCTTTACAGCAGCACCCCCTTATGGACAGCTAGGTGAGGGCTTGCTCCACTCCACTTGGAAGGTGTAAAGTAGTGGAGGTGGGACTCCAGCCCAGCCCCTGGCTCTAAGCACCTCCCCGGTGTCCAGTGCCCAGGGCCTTCCCTTCTTTCTGCTCTCTCTGCACTCTTCCATCCCCACTGGCAAGTGATGATGGGTCACACCGAATCTCTGTGACCTCAAGCTGGTTTGATCACTATGGGGGAGAACACTGCGCTTGTGGTTGGCACAGCTGCTCAGGGAGGCCACATGGTTCAGCCCCCTGGTTCTCAGGTGAGAGAACCAGCTCCTGATGGAAAACCACAGCTCCTGGGCCCTGGTGCTGCTCCCTCAGTCCCCAAGCTGTTGTGTGGTCTTGGAAGGATGTTGACTTCTCTGGCCTCTGGCAGCTCCTAGAGCACCTCCTGTGTTGTTTCTTGTCATCCACTCCACAGCCCTGAGAGGGTCCTGTCACCCCATTCCCCACACAGGACAGGCCCAGTCCCAATCTTGGAACCACACAGATTCAGCTTTTCTTGTTTGTACAATGGGCATCATAATAACTTCCTTACAGGAGGGTTTGAGGATTGAGTAAGGAAATCTTTGGGAGGCTCTTAGCACAGGTCCTCAGTTATCATTGTCTGGTTACACTTCCTGCTAAAGTAAGTCTCCCTAAAAAAGACAGGAAGTGGACTAAAGGAAAATGCCAATGAACTCACAGTCCCAGGTGGTGTCTGCCAGAGGCTTCTGCAGCACCATGGGGGCAGCATCCCTGAGCCCGGCCCCTCCTACCGTCTAGGAAAAGGCCGTGGCAGGCAGGTTATTGCTGTGGCGCGCACTGCTGACGTCATCATCATGATGCTGGACGCCACCAAGGGAGAGGTACAGAGGTCAGTGGGGGCCCGGGAGTGCAGCGGCCAGGCTGCTTGTGCTGGCCCTTACACACGGCGCTGGTGGCAGGGCCTTCCACAAGCTGAGCTTATTAGCACAACCCTGTCTCCGCGTCACAAGGCACTTTTCTGTGGAACTGAACCGTGTCTTGGGTGGGGGGCCATAGGGGTACTGAATCCCAGGCTAGGAGCACCGTGACAGCCTGGGCAGAGGAGCATGACTGGGGCAGGAGTGGAGGAGGGAGTTGATCTTAATAAAGGGCAGTGGGAGAGACCCTTGGGGAGCCCAGAGCGGCAGGGACCTCCTGTTCCACATGGGAGCCAGCCCCTGAGGGTAATTGTAAAGGGCTGTTACGGGGCTCTGCCTAGGTCACTGCTGGAAAAGGAACTGGAATCCGTGGGCATCCGCCTCAACAAACACAAGCCCAACATCTACTTCAAGGTGAGGCCCCACGGCCTGTGGGCCAGAGGTGTGGGTTGGCAGGACAACTCGGGCCAGAGGTTGCAGACTCTGACTCCCCCCATCAGCAGCTCCCCTCTGTTTCCCTCTCCAGCCCAAGAAAGGTGGTGGCATCTCCTTCAACTCAACAGTCACACTGACCCAGTGTTCTGAGAAGCTGGTGCAGCTCATCCTGCATGAATACAGTATCCTTTCCTGAGAGAGAGAGGGGGCTTCCCAGGCAACAGCAGACTCCCGGTGGAACCCTAGCCAGCCCCAGAAGCAGCCTGATCTGGCTTTCCCCAAGCACTAAGCACTGTTGTGGCCATTGAGAGGAAAATGGCCAAATCCCTGCCTTCAGTGACACCTGAGACAAGAGGGTTCTGGCAAACTCTACTCCAAAGAGTGGGTTCTTTGCCCAGAGAAGCCCTGGGGAGAGCCATCTTGGGGTGGTCTGAGAACAAAGACGTGCTGCATGCACACCTCTGGGGATGAGGACCAGGGCTACATGGTTTGCTTGGCTCTCAGAGGAGGGACTGACCGACCACAGGAGCTGTTGGGAGGGCGTGGGGGGACTGAACAGAGGTAGAGTTCCACTCAGCACATGGAGAGCTCTCTGTCAGGTCTCTTATGGTGGAATGGGCTGTCTAGGGAGGTGGAGAACGCCCCATCACGGGTGCATGGCGGTGGGAGCCCCAGGGTGTCAATGAGACTGAAATTCAACACAGCTGCTTTGCAGAGTAGCAAGTGTGTGTGTGAAGTCTTTGTGGATTGAGATTTTTACATATTGTGGCTCCTTTTGAAGAAAAGGTAGAGGTGCTCTCAGGCTTTAAACCCCCAGACCAGTACACTGGGGTGTCCTCCTGGCCAGCCTGTTGTCTGGACTCTACCGGCCAGGGAAGCCATGGTGTCACTGGCACATATGTTGCCCTTAATCTTAGCCCTCAGAGATCTTTAATGCTGAAGTGCTTTTCCGAGAAGACTGCTCCCCAGATGAGTTCATCGATGTAATTGTGGGCAACCGTGTATACATGCCCTGCTTGTATGTACGTGCCTGTGTCTGGAACCTACAGGTGTGGGAGGGTAGGCCCCAATGAGCTCCTCCACCTCCCCTTCTTCTGTGTCTCAGTGACTGGGCAAGCATTTCAGACATTCATGAGAAGAGCTTCGATAGCTCTAGAGAGCTGGTGTCCCAGGTCCCTCAGCCTTCCTCCAAGCCTTTCTGGTCAGTCACAGGAGGGCTGCACAGGTCCCTGACCACTGAGGGGCTTCTCTTTGACTGCTTTGTTCCTTTCCTTCCCCCAAACCAAACCTCCACCTTTTGAAACCTAGGTGTACAACAAAATTGACCAGATCTCGATGGAGGAGGTCGACCGCCTAGCCCGGAAGCCCAACAGTGTAGTCATCAGGTGAGGCGTGGCACACTGCCCAGCAGCATCCTTGGCCCCCACACAGCTGTTTCCGTGGTGTGCCTGTGTGCTCTGGTCAGTCACACTCAGGCCTGAGCCTGTCCAGCCAACCTGAGTCATCAGGGTGGTATGGATGATGTCTGCTGACTTGGGTTCAGAAAACAGATGAATTTCATGAACAAGATTAGGATGTTTCAAAGACTTTGTAGCCCCAGAAAGGCCCGGAACATGAGCACTCCCCTGACATCTTCCTGGCCACCGCTCCGAGGGAAGAGAGAGCAACGTTCGTGGGCAGCAGGATCTTCCCCGGCTCCATTCCTGGTCTGCCTTTGCAAACTACTCACTCTGGGTTCCTCTTTTGGGGTACACTTGTTCCTGTTTTCCACTTGGTTGGCTTCCAGCTGACAAGAGTGCTCAGACAGGCACGGGTGACTGGTGCTAGTGCAGGGTCCTGGACTTCACTGTCAGAATTGCCTGCCAACAATCCCAGCTGTGCAGAGAGCAATATGTGTCCCACTGCGGCCCACGCCTGTGGGCTCCCTCAGGGCTGCTCAAGGGCATGGTGTCATTGGAGCACCCCCCGCCCCAACCTCACTCTATTCACTACTGCCCTGCAGAAGAGAGGTGCCTGCTTAGGGTCACGGCTGTAATGGTCAGACCCCATCCACCAGGTCGGGCTGCTCCTGAACACTGCGTTGACCAGACTGCTGTGCTGCCCTGGGCCCCTGGGGCTATCCTGTCCTCCCAGGGGCGAGCTCTAGGCAGCCAGGTTTCCCAGCCCTGTCAGTCTTCTGGGGCGGGGGCCAGCAGGAAATCCAACCTCCAGATGCCCTGTGCCAAGAACAGCCCTCCTACTCCCAGGAAAGAGGGGTGGGTGGCTTTGGGGCCAGGAGGTACACACAGCTTGGGCATCAAGCTGATATCACAGCAGTGGGCTGCTTTTGGCCCCCTGCCCCAGCCAGATGGCAGTTTGCCTTCCACCTCTGGCTCGTGGGTCCTTCCACCTGACTGTGGGCCCTCCCTTTGTAGCTGCGGGATGAAGCTGAACCTGGACTACTTGCTGGAGATGCTCTGGGAGTACTTGGCCCTGACCTGCATTTATACCAAGAAGAGAGGACGTGAGTTGGGTGCACAGAGCACCTGAGGATCCCTGGCCCAGCCCTCTTTGTACCTGCTATGAGCTGAGCACTACTCTGACCCCAGGCTGGGAGACCTCTGCCCAGTGCTGTGACAAGAATTGCAGCTTTCTGGGCTACTGGTCCCCAGAGCGGGGAGTGCAGAGGACAGGTGACAGAAGCCAGCCTTGCATTCCCTGTGGCTCCCCCAGCAGCAGCAGGAGGAGCACAGCAGGAACTTTCAGCTACAGTCCACTGGAACTTCTGGCTCCTAGCTTGGGATCCACCTCTTCACAGCTTAGGAGCCCAAACCTTCCCCCACACCCTTGGCACTCACTCACTCACACGCCCAGCAGGCCAGTGGCCAAGTGTGAGCAGTCTGCGTTAGCCCTGACTTTGTCCATCAAGTGGGAGGGCTGTGCTGTGGCAGGTCAGTTCACTGCGTGTGGGCACTGGAATGCTAGGAACTTTCATCCTGGGTTTGGTTCGTTTGGTTTTCTGTGCCTGAAGTAGAGGTTGCAGAAGCTGGCACAGGAGTCTCTGTTGAGGATCTCATGGATAGCCGGGATGGGCTGGAGGAAGAGAAGGTTAGGTTGAACCCTGGAAGACCTGTAGGGACCACAGGGGTCGCTGCACCCTTTTACAAAGTCACTTGGGAACCACACAGTGACTCTTCTCTCCAATTGCAGAGAGACCAGACTTCACAGACGCCATCATCCTTCGGAAAGGGGCTTCTGTGGAACATGTGGTGAGTCCAGGAGCTCCCTCTGGGCTTCTGTCTGTCTGTGACTCCATCCAAGGGTCAGGCTCTTTCAGCGGCTACCCAGTATGGTGACAAAGTGACCAGGGGCCAGCTGTGGAGTTGGACAGGTCTGGCTTCGTGTCTGAGCCTTTGTTTCCTGTCTTATAAAAAAGGCTGAGGCTGCCGGCTTCAGTGGGGAATTAGGCGGATTCATTGGGTGAGCTGAAGCCTGGAAAGCTCCTTGCTGGAGCAGTGTGTCAGGGACGGCAGACACGGGCATGGGCAGGGGCCAGGGGACTTTCAGGGCCTTCTCCAGAGCCTGGCCTTTGTCCCAGAAAAGCCGGCTCATTTCGTTGTCACCTCCCCAGGAGTGCCTCCCTCCTACAGCACCAATTGTCCCAAGTGCCCTGGAGTTACAAGTAAAGGGCTTGCCCTGACCTGGGTACTTTATTATAGTATGGGTGTGGGCAACAGAGGCCCAGAGTTGATGATCTAGGTAGAAAATCCTCTATTGCTGTAAATGTGAATATCAAGAAATAGTTCTCTCCCACAAGGACAGTAGAGCAAGCTTAGTGGTAAATGGCTCCTAGTGATAACACGTGGCCTTAGTGTCAGGCACTAGAGCATGGCGGGGACTGTGGCAAACTGGAGAGCACACACAAGTGCCTCAAGGGAGCACTAGCTCAGTACTCCAGAGTTTTCAGGGGTTCTCGAAAAGCGGGGAATCCCTGTGACTATGTGAACTCCTGCTCTTTAGTTGGGTTTTTGTTTTGTTTCTGTTTTTTTCATGTTGAGCAAAATGCTTGAGTGACCTCTGGGCCATCAGTTTTCATTCTATGATGTCAGAAGAGATGAGTGCTAGACTTGGACTTGTGGGTATCTCGGCTGCTCCATGGCAGTAGCACCCTCTTCTCAGGGCCAGGCATCCTTGGCCACCCAGAGGAGATCAATCAGATTGCCTTCCCATGTGAGCTGACTGAGGCATTGCTCCGTGAGACCTGTGGCCCATGATAGGGAAGCCAGGCTGAACCGTTTTCTCCACCACACACACTGCATCCACCTATCACCATGGCAACCAGGAACCCACATTTTCAGAGGGAGTTGGTCACGCACTCCAAGGTCACCTCTGGGATTCCTAGCACCTATATCCCTACACAGGAACTCTGTTGGGTGCCAGCTTTCCTGCGGGCGGGAAGTGTAGGAAGCACAGATCATAGCTGCAGCGAGGTAGTTAAGAAATGTTACCAAGCAAAGGGAGGGTGTCCTGAAGAGCCACCCATGACCATTCAAGGGCATCTTGAGGTTACTGGGGAGCTGGCTGAGGGCCATTAGTAGCCAGGACCCTGACTAACCTCTCATGGGTTGTAGAACATGTCGAACTAGGCATTAACAGCTTCCAGGAAAACATGGAGAAGGGACCTTTAGAACCACCTGCAGCCATAGACACTGCTGTGTCTGAATCCAGCAAGTGGGTCTGGGCCTGTCCCACCCTGTCACTCAGCAAGCACTGTTAGAACACCAGCTGGTGAACCAATACGTGTCTCGTTGCCCTGGGTTCTGGGTCTGCAGCTGAGGTTGGGGTGGAGCTGGGTAGAGTCCAGATGTCCTATCTGATTCTCCTGTCCTCCAGTGTCATCGGATCCACCGGTCGCTGGCCAGCCAGTTCAAATACGCCCTGGTGTGGGTGAGTCTTGGGGGTGGGGGATGGGAGTTAAAATATTATAACTAACATGGGGACACACACACACACCCTGCTTCTGTGTCTGCCCCTTAGCATAGCATTTGGAAAGGCATGGGTTGGGCACCCCCGCTCCCTTTTGAGATTTACCAGTTCTGGGCCCTCACCCTCCACATAACTTCACTCCTCAGAGTGGGGTCTGCCCATCTCAGTGAAGAGTAGAGACTCATGGGCTTCCTCTGCTCCCTCCCTCCAGGGCACCAGCACCAAGTACAGCCCACAGCGGGTGGGACTGACCCACACCATGGAGCATGAGGACGTCATCCAGATCGTCAAGAAGTAGCCACACCGCATCCCTCCCGTCTCCCTAGGGCGTCCGACCACTGGACCACTCCAGAGCCCAAACAAGCAAATACAAATAAACACACCCCAGGAAGGGGGCCCTGGAGTCTGTTGTTACTGGGAGTTTCTAGCAACTGTTGTGCAGAGAGCAGCACAGTGGAGGCCTTGGACTCAACTGGCAATTTCCCTGAGACTGACCCTCAAATGGGGCAGCCCTGGGCCTGCCCCAGCCCCATGTCCCTTCGGACACTGAGGGAGCAAGTTACCCACCTCTGCCAAGGCCTAATATGGATGGCTGTTAAGGGTGGGGAGATGGGTTGCTAAGGCACTTCATTCCTCAGCTATCAGCTTCTCTGGCATTATAGGGTATGGAGGCATGCCAGGACCAGACCTCCATAGGGCTGTCCTGTGGTGGAAACCAGACCAGGTCAGTTAAGGTCTACCTCAGACCCTCCCTGGCTGAAGTGCCTCCCCTCTGAGTCTCTGCACACAGATGGGGCTGTAGAGTTTGGGATCTGTGTTTACTTGTAAGCCCCCCAATTGCCCCACTTTTTTCTAAAATAAAGGATGAACAATTCCTGTTTGGATGGTGGAAAAAGATAGTACTTTTGCAGATCTGGTGACCTTTACTGTAAGTGCATGTGGCCTGGGCCCACGGGAGTAGACCCAAGCCTCAGGGGAACGAATGTGAGGGAGAAACTCCTGGGAGACTGGTTTTGAAAAGGAGCCCTGACCCGGCCTGGGTGGACTGTGGGCTGTACCCAGGAAAGCCAGCAAGGGGCTGTGAGTTCTAGACCAATGCCTCCATGAGGCCAGGTCTAGCTGCAGAGGAGGGCAACATCTTCAGAAGACCTTTGGAACTGGTGTAGCAGGAAAGCCCTCAGCAACAGCAAAGTGGCCAGATGCATTTCCTGTCCCTCCCAGGGGTAGGGGGGCCTGGCATAGTGCCAGCACAGCTTGTGGGCCCAGGACCAAGCTGGGCTACCTCCCCAGCTTTTGATGCAGAACTAGGATTTGGACCTGGGTCAGACCTGGATCAGAGTGGCAGGGCAGGCTTTCCGGAGGGAAGTGAGCCTTTAGGGGGATAGCGCCTCCTCAGGGTCCCCAGGCCAGAGCTGGACTGCAGTACTGGCTTAGCCATCCAGGCTGTTTCCAGCACCCTTGTCAGCTGTTGAGGCTCCTTTCTAGAGACAAAACAGGAATAATAGACTTCATTAAATATACATGGGGCCCCAGGCGGTCGGCGTGGTGGGCTGGGCCTCTATTCCTCGCAACACTGAGCTGCTCTGCTGGACCAATGTGCTCCCGGGGGCCAGTTCAGGGGCCCTCCATTAGTGACATGCAGGTGGGAGAGCAAGGCACGGGAGCCAGGTAAGGGTAGCCCAGCCCTGGGTCCTTGGAGTCTTCCATCGGCCTGCCTAGGTTGCAGGAAGGAAAAGAGACTATGGCAAAGCTGGGGCCGTACTCTTAACCCACTTTGAGACCTCTTGGCCTCAGTTTCTTCATCTAAAAGTGGATGAAATTCCCATGCAGTCCCTCTCTTGGAGACAAGATACCAAGACAGGTAAGTGCTCCGTGGCTTATCTCCTTCCCTTTCCTACCCTATCAGGTCTGGCTAGGGAAAGTCCCCAAGTGAGGAGCTCTTCCCTTCTTATCTTATAGGAAGGCCCTTGGGACCCAACAAGGTTGAGTTTATAGGTGTAAGGTGAGTGTGGACCTCAGATTAGGTTGGCTGGGAGATACGGTCCAAAGGCAGGCACCATCTGCAGCAAGTCAGGGCATGGAGGTGTGGGACACGAGGGACAGCTCTAGCTCCATGTGCCCCTTGCTAGGTTTGAGTGTCCTTGTGTACCTACATGCCCTTAGATTGCTGGCTCTCCACATGGCTATTCCCTCCAAGCCTACCTGTGAGAGGCCCCATCCAGGTCTGTGTGAGACCGAGGTATCCAGAGTGTGTGGTGGGGGATGATGTGGAATCACAGAGCTGGGGTAGTCCTCTAAGGAGGGCCAGGGCATACCCCTCCAGGTAAACTCCGAGGCTCAGGTTGGGCCCCAACTGGCACTTCTGGGCACTCATCCCCTCTGTGGGTGGAGGCTCTGGCCTGGGTAACCTACCCTACAGCCTGGCTATCCTGGGAAGGTTAACACCTCTCAGGACTCTCCAGGCTGCAGGCTTGCTCTGAGCCCAAGCTGAACTACCAGTCTCTCCTTCCCCCCGGCTCCCTAGAGGCAGCCCCATCAGTGATTTTTATGGATTTAAGGGCAAAGGACATCCCTCATGGCGCTGTAGGATCAGCACTGGACTGTGAACTCTAATGTCTGCAGTTCAAACCCACCAGCTGCTTCTTGGAAATTCTACGCAGGGTAGTTATGAGTCGGACCCAACTCTATGGCATGTAACAAGGACAAAGGAGCCAAGGCTTGACCACACATCCCATACTCTCTCTTTCCTTCTCCACATCCTGCCCCCTCCCGCTTAGATTCCACAGTCCTTCATCTCAAAAGTCTAAACTCGTTTACCCTCCTAAAGACCCAGACTCAGGCCAGCCTCCCACCCTGCTCTCCAGTCAGTGCTGCTCAAGGACACTCTCATTCTTCCTGTGTCCCATACCTCCATGCCCTGACTTGCTGCAGATGGTAGCCCAGCTAGAAAGCTCTTGTCCAAACAGCCCACCTCCACTTTGCCCTCATCTCTCATGATGGAGAATGTCATGGCCAGGTGACTGAGCTTTCTCTGCCGCTCTTTCTCCCTCCTGGATTTGTCCTGTCAACTTGTCAACTCAAGCCTCTCCTACTAAAAACAACCTAAAAGGCCCTCACCATCACCTTCTCTGGCCACCTTCCCACGTTCACTCTCCCTGACTACCTCACATCCCCTCGCTCATTGACCCTAAGAGACCACCCAACACCTGCCAAGACCTGTCCATCTCCCCTCCCTCCCGTGCTCTCTTGGCAATCAGCTGCCATTTCTAACACATACACCTCCAGCCTCAGCTCCTGAGATGCTGCACTTACCTCTGACCTCTTCTCTGCCTTCTTCATTCAGGTTTAAAAGCAGGGCCTCTCAGAACTTGGTCTGTGGTTACCATTGCCCTAGCCTTGGCTGGTCCCTCACAACCATCTGTGGCCTGACCTCTCCAAGTTCCAGTCCTACTGGTCTGAACCCCACCCCCTCGAATCTCCACCTGACCATTCCACAGTTCCTCCAAACCCACCATGTCCAAGACCCTTCACTTCACCTCAATTGGTGATTCCCCTATTCATTTAGCTGCAGTTGGCCCAGCTCCAGCCTCACCCTTGGCCATACCAGCCCTTCACTTGTCCTGCCATCTTACTATGTAAGGGTCCTGATGTGTCCGTTCTGCCACAGTACTGTCTTGGTGTGTGGTGGTGTTCTGTGGAGTTGGTTCCGAGTCATAGCAACCCTGTATAGGGTTTGTTGTTGTCAGGTGCCATCAAGTCAGAACCGACTCATAGCGACCCCATGCACAACAGAACGAAACAATGTCCGATCCTGGGCTTAGGATTTAGGGTTTAGGATGCTGTAAATCTTTACAGAAGCAGAAAGCCTCATCTTTCTCCTGCAGAAGGGCTGGTAGTTTCGAACTGCTGACCTTGAGGTTAGCACCCTGACTCGTAATCACTATGCTACCAGGCTAGCCCACGATCTCTCTCCCCACCTTCATTCTGCACCCTTTCCCGATCCTCTACATGGTGGTCCAAGAGAGCTCTGTGAGGCCATTTCTGAAAGGCTCATTTCTCAATGTCCTGGGCACAGTAGAGCCTTCCCTTTCTCCTCTGTAAGAGGAGTGCTGCACTCTTCCCAGGGTTGTGAGGTTGAATAGTGCAATATGGCTGGTAACTGTGAACACAGGTCTCACAGACCACTTCTCCCAAACATAGCCCCTACCTATAAAATGGGGATAACTGTCCCTGTCAGGTATGAGAATCCAAGTTGGGCACACAGTGAACATATGGTGATGTGGTTACTTTGACTACTTTAAAGTACACATCTGGTCACAGCACTCCTGCCTGCATCACACTCTGCATGGACTCCCCACTCAATGGTCCAAACTACCATCCCGGTTTGCTTGGCTACCACAAGCCAGTGCCCCGCCTGTTCACTCCAGCCGTTCAACTTCACTTCTTACACTTGGCCTTTGCACATGCTATTGCAGCTGCTGGGAACACTGTTCCCTTGCCTGTTTCCTCCCCTCATTAGGAGCACTTCCCAGGTGGCCTGAGGTGGCACCCTTGCCTTTGCAGCCCCTCACAGTGGTAGTTTCTCCCGTGTGACACTAGGAACTGGTCTGTTTCTGACCCCCTGCAGCTAATCTCAAAGTCAGTGGTTCAACCGAGCTGCTCCTCAGGAGAGCAAAGATTAGCTGCTCTTGGACAGATTTACAGTCTTGGAAACCATAAGGAGCAGTTCCACTCTGTCCTATGGGGGGTGGCATTATGAGTCGGACTCTACTTGATAGCACAGCACATGGCACACAGTAAGCACACAACAAATACTTGAGAAATGAACAGGAAAGAATTGTTCCTAGGTAACCCCCCTGCCTGGCACAAAGGCCCGGGATGCTCAATGAGACAGGACCTCAAACCAGCCCTAGAAGGGGCTGCCTGAATGACCACTAGGAGCACATGATCCCCAAGGTCTGGGCCCCAGAGGTGTCTCTGCAGGCAGTAAAAATACCAGGTCTGCCTGTGCCTCACCATGCTGCCTCTCCATCACACTCATCCTCACATCTACCAGCACACAGAGGCCAGGGACCCACACAGCTGGGCTCTCTGCCAGTGAACCCTCCCTCCCAAGGCTGCTGCATCCCTTGGGCTCTGGTCCTGCATCTGTGCATCAGGACAAAAAGATGTGTCCAAGGAGAAATTCTAGTCCCCTCAGAGTGGCTGGCAGACACTTTGTGATGGCTGACAAGTTCCTGGGGCCAAGTACCCTCAATCTGAAGCAAGCAGAGATATTTTTATAGGAGATGGCCTAAATAGAGCCAGGGCCAGCCCTGTTCCCTGCCTTCCTCTGGCCCTGGTTCCTGAACTATCACCTGGAGCAGGGAGGGGCAGGGCTGAACCCTGCAGTCTGATCTTGTCACCCTTTTGTGCGCTCTTATAAAGGATGTTTCCATTCATGGTCTCTAATTCCTTTCTTCCCATTCTCACTGTTTTTTTAAATGTTACTTTTGCTTGTTAGTTTGAATCAGCCCTTTCCTCCCCCAATGCATTATTCATGTTCCTGAGAGCTGGTCACCTCCAGTTACACTAACTACAGCCCCGCCTGCTCACTCCCCGCACCCCAGGGGCCTGGAGGGTCCAAGATTCCCCTCCAAGGGCACTTGTCCAGGTTTTGAGCATCCAGTCTGGGGCTCAGGAGCCTGGGGCTCCACTTCCAGTCCAGGTCAAACAGGTTAGGTGGCTTAGGCCTCCCCTCACTGAGACCCAGCATCTTCCTCTATGAAAGGGTGCTCATAAAAACTCTGCTAACTTCAGTGTATTTGCACCTGTTCATGCACTCGGTCTTGGAACATAGGAGGACTTCCTAAATGTCAGCTATGCTCTGTCTTGATGACCCTAAGGCCAGGACGCCTCCCCCAGGACAGGCCTTAGCCACGTGTCCCTTGTCCTGGTAAACAACACCACCACACTTTCCACCGCTGCTAGAAGGTGAAACCCAAGTCCACCTTAGGACGAGATGAATTATGGATTTGCCCCTAGAAATCCTGGCCCCAGCCACACTGGGTGTATCTATCTGTGCCAGCCCTGCTCAGTGCTGGAGGAAACCGGTCCCACTTGCTCCGAGTCCGAGAAGGCCTCCTGTTTAGTTGTGGATAGGAGACTTAGTTGTTCCTGAGTCTCCAAGTTCCTGTGCCTGTGACCCAGACTTGTGGGGAGCAAACAGCCACTATGGCGAAAGAGGATGATGATGATAAGAAAGCCAAGAAAGGGAAGAAGGGAAAGAAGGCTCCAGAGCCGGAGAAACCAAAACGGAGCTTAAAGGGGACGTCCCGACTGTTCATGGGCTTCCGTGATCGCACGCCCAAGATCTCCAAGAAGGGACAGTTCCGAAGTGCATCAGCTTTCTTCTGGGGCCTCCACACCGGCCCACAGAAGACAAAACGCAAGAAGAAGGCTCGGACCGTGCTCAAGTCTACATCGAAGCTCATGACGCAGATGCGGATGGGCAAGAAGAAGCGCGCCATGAAGGGCAAAAAGCCATCCTTCATGGTGATCCGCTTCCCTGGCCGCCGTGGCTACGGCCGGCTGCGGCCGCGCGCTCAGTCGCTCAGCAAGGCCTCTACAGCCATCAACTGGCTCACTAAGAAGTTCCTCATCAAGAAGGCCAAGGAGTCCGGCAGCGAGCAGGCCACGCTGGATGCCTGGCTCAACCGCTCTGGCTCGCGTGGCTCCCGCAAGCTGCCCTTCCCATCGGGCGCCGAGATCCTGCGCCACGAGGGTGGCCTGCGCCGCTTTCCACGCAGCCACAGCATCTACGAGTCCCGAGAATCTGTCGGCTTCCTGCCCTTGGAGGACGAGGCCCCATTCAGGCCCTCTGGCTCACGCAGGTCGCTGTTTGGGCTCGAGGGCTTCCAAGACCTGGGTGAGTACTACGACTACTACCGCGAGGGTGACGACTACTATGACCAGCAGTCGCTGTACCAGTACGAGGAGCAGGAGCCCTACCTGGCCGCGTACAGCCCTTACAGCCCAGCCTGGCCTCTTTACGGCAGCGACCCCTACTATGGGTACCCAGCCGAGGACCTCTATGACTACTACTCCACCGGCTCTTACGGAGCCTCCTACCCACCCTACCCTTACAGCTACAGCTATGGTTATGATGACTACGAGCCTCCATATGCACCCCCATCAGGGTATGCATCTCCCTACAGCTACTATGATGGGTATGATGATGAGGCTTACCCGTACAGCTACTACCTGGACCCTTACACGCCTTACCCGCCCTATGACCCTCACGACATGCCCTACCCACCCTATGACCATCCTTTCAACAGCCCCTACGACGTACCTTATTTTGATCCCTATGGGGTCCCCTACAACATTCCCTATGCCGAAGGCAGCTATGGGGGCGGAGCAGAGGCCGTCTGCCCCCCTGAAATACCCCACCTTTACCCGGATCAGTCGACTTTCATGTACCCGTGGGTTCCACCACCCATATCATCGCCCCACAACCCATATGCCCACCCCATGGACGACATTGCAGAGCTAGAAGAACCCGAGGAGGCAGATGGAGCGCGACAGAGCACCTCCTTCCGCCTGCCCAGTGCCGCCTTTTTCGAGCAGCAAGGCATGGACAAGCCGGCCAGGTCCAAGCTGTCCCTCATTCGAAAGTTCCGCCTCTTCCCGCGGCCCCAGGTGAAGCTGTTTGGAAAGGAGAAGCTGGAGGTGCCCCTCCCGCCCTCCCTGGACATCCCACTGCCCTTGGGGGAAGCAGACGAAGAGGAGGACGAGGAGGAGATACCCCCAGTGCCCTATAGACACCTCTACTGGAGCTTCCTCACGCCGCAACAGCGCAACCTGCAGCGTGCGCTATCGGCCTTTGGGGCCCGTCGCAACCTGGGATTAGGGCCCGAATTTGACGCCCCCTCCGCAAGGCCAGCCACCTCACTGGCTCGCTTTCTCAAGAAGACGCTGTCGGAGAAGAAGCCCATCCCGCGGCTATGGGGCAGTCAGAAAGCGCCAGCAGCAGTGCCGGCGGTCCGAGAGGCGGCCTACAAGCGCTTTGGCTACAAGCTGGCAGGCATGGACCCAGAGCGGCCCACCACACCCATCACGCTGCGGCGTGTGCAGCCACGCACGCGCAACAACAACAACTCCTGCACTCCGCCTGCGCCGGCATCCTGGGGGGCGCTCCTGCCGCCGCCTGTCCTGCGCCAGGCTCCCGCGCCCCTGATCCCGCAGAGGCCGGCTTCACCGCCCGGTTCCCTCCATCGACACCCGCCGCCTTGGGCCGCTCCAGCGCATGTGCCACTTGCACCGCAGGCAAGCTGGTGGAACTTCGTGGAGCCCCCGCCCATGTGCCCCGAAGGTGCGGCAGAAGCTCTGGCCTTCCCTGGGCCCCGGCCCTCGCTCAGAGGGTCCCGCCGCGGGCGAGGCTCGGTCTTTGGCTTCGCAGGTCGCTCACCGCAGACCTCATACCGGCGGGGTTGGCCACCAATGCTTTCACCGCAGCCCTCCCTACGGAGCCTACCGGGCCCTGGCTACTGCTCCCCCAGGGGGGCTCTGTCCCCACAGCCCTCCATCCGCTCAGGCCCCTTCCAGCCACCCTTCTCACCGTCAACCCGCAGGCCCCACTCCCTTCGGGAGCCGCTAACCCCACGCCCCAGCTCCAGGCGTCTAGGCCCATCCCGCTCCCAAGTTCTGGGCTCGCCAGGGCCGCCCACGAGAGCTGTTAGCCAGAGGCTACCTGTGTCCCCACCTCTGCTGGGCCCAGGCCTCAGGCACTGCTCCTTGAACCTGCCTTCCCGCTTTGTACCGTCGTCGTGGAAACGGTTTAGTGAGCAACCTACTAGGGCAGTGAAGCCCCAGACGCGCACACCCTTCCATCGGCCCCACGGCTCAAGGCACTGGCCAGTAGGACGGGCTGCCCCTGAGCATCAGAAATCAGAAAAAGAGGACTCAGAGACTCTGTGGACGGTGCCGCCACTGGTCCCCAGCTGGGATGTGGACATGCCTCCCACTCAGCGTCCACCCTCCCCCTGGTCAGGGGTCGTGAGCACCCGCAAGGGCTTACCTAGGCCTCCTCTTGTGTCAGAAAACCCATTCTTGGAGCATATGGGTCCTGTGCTGCCCCCTCCTCCCCAGGTGGAGGACCCAGCCTCTGAGTCAACCGATGTCCTTCTGGGCAAGCACTGTGAGCCAGGGCCAGGACAGCTCCCCAGATCTGCAGCCCTAAGCCCTGAGAAGCCAGAAGAAGCCATTCTGGTGGACTCCCAGAGACCAGCTGAGCCTGAGCCTCCATTGGTAACACCCCCCAAGGATCTCACCCCAGAGCAGAAGTCACTAAAGCCCAGCCTCTCCCATCCATTGGCTGCGTGTGACCAGAAAAGGGCCGTGTGGCCCCCATGGCACCATCGGATGACAATGCCCAGAGTCCTGGCCCCCTTGGCACCCACTGGGACCCCAGGGCCCCTGCCTGAGCGGGGAAAGCGGCACCAGGTCGGGCCTGGACGCTGTGCAGTGGTCACACCTTGGGTGCAAAAGCTGAGCTCCTTCCAGCAAGTGGGGTCTGCCACCCTGCAACACCCTGTCCAGCCAGCCCAGGACTCCCAGCCCAACCCAGAGCCAAGAGCCTGTAGTCTTCACTGGGCCCATCTCTGGCAGCCAGCAAAGGCCCACCAAGCCTGGCCAAGAGTTCATACTTGCCCTCCATCCCGCCGCTTGGGCCCTAAAGCTACTAGCCTGCCCTGTGGGCTCCTCTGGAAAAAAGTTGACCCCCAAAGCTGGCAGAATAAGGTACGGGCACAATCAGAGGGAGGATGTAGGGGGCCTAGCCTGGGAAACAGGGCATGAAACATCCCCAGATGTCGTTGGCGAGCTGCTTCCTGCTCAGGCTTCAGTCTGTCCATCTGTAATTATAAGAGCCTTGGCCTCCCTGAGCCACTGGAGTGATGAGCAAAGGATTACCCAGCACAGGGCAGAGGCACTAAAACTCTTTCAAGGTCCACTTTTGGGAGGGATCTTGTTGAGTACCAGCCTGGGCTCTGTTGTCGTTAAGTGCAGTTGAATCGGGTCAGACTCTGTATGGGGTTTCTGAGGAGCAGCTGGTGAGTTTGAACTGCCCACCTTGCGGTCAAGTGCTGATCCTATAGCGCCACACCAGGCTCTAGATAGCTACAAAGTGTGCCTGTTCTTGTAGCCCTGTCCTGGTCAGCTGTCCCTCAGAGATCCTGGCCTAGGGCAAAGTCTACCATGTCCATACTGTTTCTTAGGCCTCCTAGGGAGTTTTCTCCCACTTCCCTGGGATTCTACTTAAGAGTAGTAACAAACTTCCTTTACAACCCCCTGAGCAGCAAGGTTCTGGCATATCTGAGGGTAAGGGGGCTCATGTGGAGTGGGAAAACCAAGGCCAGAAAGGTCCATTTCTTGGCCATGGTCACACAGTGAATCAGGGACTGAGATAGATCTCTCTGTGGGATACAGAGCTAGGCAGCATGAAGGAGGGGTGCCCAGCTGAACTTGGCTGCCATGTTCATGGCGGAATGCAAGCCCAGCCCTGAGTGGCCCTCAAAAGAGGGGGGTAGTCACCGGAGCCTCCCCCGGGACGTGGGATAGGCGGGGCAAGAAGGGGCAGCAGGTACCTAAGCCTCTTCAGACGGTACCCAGAGGAGTGGGCAGCTGACTAGGCCCAGCAATGGCAACTGGGGTGGCCTGGCTGTTGGGAGGGCCTAGGCCCCGGCGGCGGGTGCCCCATGCTGTGTGGGCTGCAGCGTTGCGGGAGCAGGGTGCAGGGCGCCCAGGAGTGAGGGGCAAGGATGCCTGGGCCCTCCTCACTCTGGAATACGTGAGTGGCTGAATTATTTAGGGTCTAACGCTGGCAAGCACATGGGAAGATGGGTGGGCAGGAGGCCAGGGACTCCTGGGTGATACTCTGTAAGATGGCCTACTTAGCAGCCCAGCGACAAGCACACATGCCCGCAGGGGTGCGCTCCTGGTGTCCCCTTTCCTTGCTTTCTCAGAGATGTGGGGACTGGGATCCTGAAGGCTGGGTAGAATGAGAGGGCCACATTTGTGCTTAGTCACACAGGTTACACTTGTGCCCACGTGGCAAATGAGGAAAGCATCCTGGTGTGTACACCAAGGTTCGAGCAGACATGGTGTCCATGGGGGTCGGGGTATTTGTCCACTGTTGGCATGTGTGCACATGAGTGTCCTACAGGACTTCCATTCTCAAGACCCACAGTGGAGGGCTGAGGGGGTGGGCCTTGCTGTGTAGCACCAGCTATCTGCAGACTCAGGAGTGTGCCTTCCAATGGCCTGTCTTCAGCCGGGTACCATGGGTGTTTGGAGACTGGGGATGTACGTGGGAGCTGTATGAGTTGCCAGTGCCTTTCTGTAGCATCCATGTATGTATGAGACACCGCTGTGCATGAGACAGGCCCAGCCCCCTTGGGTCTAAGGAGTCAGGGCACAGATGATCCTAGAGCTGTCACAAACGGAAACATATTGTATATGTTGGGTCAGCTACATATCCAAGAGGAGAGAGCTGTTAGAACAACAGGCCTGAGGTTGGGAGGCCTTTCCTGGGGGTTGGGAGGAGGACGGGAGTGTGGAGTTTGAAACTGGGCCTCTAAGACACTCAGGAAAACAGTGCCTCACACATCTGGACACTGGTGAGCAGGTGTGTGCGCCAGAGTAGGGAGAGTCACATGCCAGCTCTTTGGACCCCATTATGGCCTTGGGGTTCCCTCCTTGACAATAGGAGTGGATCCCAGGCGTGTCCAAGCCACGGGGACCACGTAGGGGACATCCTCTAACCAGGCCAACGTACAGCAATTCTCACAGATGCACTCCATCCGCAACCTGCCGTCCATGCGGTTCCGTGATCAAGGGGAGGCTGGTGTGGAGGACATGACGCAGCTGGAGTGAGTGAGCAGAATGGGCTGGGAGGTGGGGGTGTCACAGTGTGCTCACTACATTCCCAGCCATAGAGCCTCCTCAGTATCAGAGCTGCCTTTCACCTCCCAGAACGTTTTCAGAGCCTGTACACCCATCTGCAACATGGGGTGTCGGGAAGGCCAAGTATGTGAACATCAAAGTTCTGTGAGTCAGACAAGCCTGGGTTCAAATTCTAGCCTCCTGACTTACAAGCTTAGTGACCATGGGCAAACCTCCTAGCCGTTCTGCTGTGCCTTAGTTTCTGTACCCATAAGTGGGATGGCGATTGTCCTTCCTTTCACTATTGTCCATTGTTCACTGTTGGTGCTGGTGCCTTGGAGGTACCTGCCCAAAGCAAGGGCTGTGTTGGTTAATATCATGATCCAGCCCACATATCTGTCATCTAAGAGTGTCCCCACAGTCTCCAGTGTAGGAGGGCAGTTACTGTCATCCGCACTTAACAGAGAAATGAAGTAACCTGGACACCGTCTCACAGACGGCTAACCTGGAGGATGGGGAAGCTGGGCATGGGCCAGCTGAAGTCTAAACCCTGACTGCTTATTTCTCTACCCTCCCAGAGACCTCCAGGAGGCCACTGTGCTGTCCAATATCAAGACTAGATTTGAACAGAACCTCATCTATGTGAGTGCCTTCGGGACCTCCTGGGGAAGAGGGTGGATACACAGGCTTTTCTAATGGGGCCCCAGACCTGTGGTCTCTCTGGTTTGAACTTTAAGGTTTGTACCATTTGAACACAGAATACAGAATGCTAGACCCTAAAGGTATAAAATCTGAAGCCCTAAGACGTGGCGCCTTAGAACGGTGGAGGTCAGAGGCAGGGAACTGGAGTTAGGAAACCCAGAAATGTGCAGTTTTCACTGCGAATTTAGACTCTACAATCAGAACCACTAAATTTGGGTCCTTGAATGTTGGGGGAGGGGCACTGGGCTAGGAGGATCCACTGACCCCAAAAGAGAGCATGGATGATCAGGGACATAGAGCCACCTTGGGGAAGGCGAGGATCCTGAAAGTCTGGCCATCCTCAAGATGCCCTGGGCTCCCCAAACTCCAAGGAATGGAAGGTTGAACTCAGAAGTTCCTAGAGTCCAGGCCTGCCTTTATGAGTAAATAAATAAAGAATGCAGTAGCTGATGAGACAATAGGCCTGGCCCCCTTTGCAGAATGATAGCTTTAGGACTTTATTTACTCCTTTCAAATTCCTCCCAACCTCTACCTGGTACAGTGCCTGAAATTCCACTATTGGTCTAAGCAATCCCAGCAAGCTGGTAGAGGGTCTTGGGTATGAACACTGAAACCAGACCTCTAGAGCACTGTCCTGCGAGAAATGGGGGCCCTCCAGAAACAGGAACATAAACAGAAGAGGTCCAGGAGGAGTGTGGCCACTAAGATCACCTCCTGCCCAGCAGACATACATCGGCCGCATCCTAGTGTCGGTGAACCCATACCAGATGTTTGGGATCTATGGACCAGAGCAGGTGCAGCAGTACAATGGGAGGGCACTGGGAGAAAACCCACCGTGAGTGTTTGGGGCCCAGGGCTGGGGGTAGTGGTGGGCAGCTTCCCCCAGCTCTCCTGTGTCCTTCTCTAAATTTGACAAGAGTCTGGCTGTCCCTCACTATGGGTCAGGGCTGATGGCAGTGGACAACCCACTACAAGCCCTCTGAAGCCTTGCCACATCCTTCCTTTGGCTCCTCCCCTACTAGCTTGGAGACAAAAGTTGGCTTCAGACCAGGATAGGGGGTGGAGAGCATTTCCCAGAGGGGTGGAGCAGGGCTGACCACTAGGCCGGACAGAGATGCCCCCCCCCCAGCCTTGCCCCAAGGAGGTGATATCTGTCTCCCCAGACACCTCTTTGCAATTGCGAATCTCGCCTTCGCCAAAATGCTCGATGCCAAACAGAACCAATGTATAATCATCAGGTAAGCTATGGTCAGGTTGTGGGATGTTCCTATTCATGGTACTAAATGGGGCATCTTCAGGCAATGAACATTTCTGTATCAGGCCAGACCTACTCTGTACCCTCAGAAAATTCTTGGCTGTCCTGGCTTGTGTGCATGTCTCCATATCCCCTCCTGCATCCTAGCTTCCTGGCAGGCTGGAGGGACCCAGGAGAGGCAGGGAACAGGTAGAAGCTCACTCTGTCTCTTTACCTGGCAGTGGAGAAAGTGGCTCTGGCAAAACTGAGGCCACGAAGCTGATTCTGCGCTACCTGGCCGCCATGAACCAGAAGCGGGGCATCCCACAGCAGGTGGGTGTATCTGCCTGTTTCTTGGCCTGTCTCCCCTGAACCCTCTGGCAAGCATCCTTGTGGGGCATGCCCAGTGAGCTCCCCAAGAGGCAACAGTCCTTGGCCTCACTTGGAGGACAGGGAGCCTGGGCTCTAGAGAGATTTGGACCTGGCCAGGGCTTGCACAGACAGGGACGATTGGACTCTGGGCTCTACCTGGTGCCCCTACTTCACGAAAGCACTTGAGGGTGGAGTTCCCTCCTATCTGTATTCCTTCCTGGTGACACCTCTGGGTTCCAGGGTCAGAGTGGGGGGCCACATGTGCAAAGTGTAGTTCTGTCTTTCCTTCCTGATGTCTTCTTCCCAGTTAAGACCAAGAGATACCATCTTCTCACACTTAAGGGAAGTACAGACCTGGGGGTTATGGAACAGATAGCGCTATCCCAAAGAACAGGCAGGGAGACAATAGATTCCAGTTGGGAGCCTCTGGGCACCTAGGAGGCTGGGCAGGTTCTGGACAGGACTAAAGGCTTGCTAATGAAGTAAATGCAAAATCCTCAAACCTGACACTGTTAAAACCTCAATAATCTATGGAGGACCTACTGTGAACCAAAACTCCTGGAGTGGTGTTGTAGCATCTGCACTGGATTGTGAACCACAAGGTCGCTATGAGTCGGAACTGACTCGACAGCACTGTGAGCCAGGCCTGTGTGTCAGGTGCTAGGGAAGCAGACAACAGCAGCTAGACAAGCAAATGTGTCAACCTCATGGAAATTTTATTCTAATGGGAAGACTGAAAGAAAACAAATGTATAAGTAAATTTACTGTATGTACAGTATGCTGAGTTATGGAGAAAAATAGGGGAGGTTGGAGAGTGTTGAGGGCTGTCATTCTAAGTGTGGTGGTCAAAATAGGCCCACAGAGAAGCTGAAGAAGTGGCCCCAAAGACGTTAGTAGGGAGAGCAAGCAGGCAGAGGATAGACCAAGTGCAAAGGCTGCAGAGTAATAGCAGATCTGGTGTGTCCAGTGTGGACTAGAAGCTCAGACCAGTGAGGTTGAATTCCAGATATGTTAAAGGCAACACTAACAACTGGCTTCAGAAGAGAGGGCAAGAACTCAAGGATGCCCCCAGTTACTAAGCCTGAGTCACCAGAAGGCTGGGGCTGCAGTGGGCATGGGTGCAGCAGGAGCAGATCTGGAGATTACAGACGGCTAGCAGTCCTCCTAGAGCCAAGTCACGAGCTCAGGACATGTTGGTACTTGAAGCAGGCCCACTGGCTTGGACTGAAAAACCACAAATGTCCTCTGAGGTTTTGATGTGGTTACAATGTCCTGGTCAATGTAGGCCTTGCCAGGGTTTTGATGTGGTTACAATGTCCCGGCCAATGTAGTGATCTTGCGGGCATCTGGAGAGTGGGGTTGGTCCAGGAGACTAACTGGCCTCTTTCATCCTAGCCTGAGCCTCCTGACAGCCAACCAAACCTCCCTGTGTCTCCAGGTTAGACTTAAGGGAAAGAGAGAATTCTGCACCAGACACCCCCTGGTTGCAAAGTGCTGCCATACCAGATTTTCCCAGTGTCCTTTAGGGGAGAAATGCTTGGCTCCATTCTATAGATAGGAAAGCTGAGGCTTAGAAGGGAGGTGACTTGTCCAATATCCAAAATAAGATAGTGACAGAGCTGGGATTTGAAGTCCACAGTCAAGAGAGCTCCCCTTGTCAAGGCTATGGAAAATGACTGGGTCTTGAGATGTTTCTGTGCTAGTACGCAGTTGGTGTAAGGACAAGTCTGTTGTCATGAACATGGGATGCATTTTCCAGCTAGGTGTGGCTGGATCCAGGTTTTAACTAAAATCTCTTGGCTGGTGGGTTTGAACTGCCAACCTTGGGGTTAACAGTCCGGTGCTTACTCTACAGCTCTGATTCCTCTGTGTTCCATCTGATGAGGTCCATGTATATAGTCACCGTGTATATTGTTGAAAAGTGGTATTTGCAATGATAAGTAGTTGATCTTGCAAAATTCTTTCATGAGATCTGTAGCATTGTTTCTATCACCAAGGCCGTATTTCCCAACTATTGACCCTTCACCTTATGTGATGCATGTTGTTGCTGTTAAGTATCATTGGGTCGGTTCCGACTCATAGTGACACTGTCTAGGGCTTCTGAGCAGCTAGTGGGTCTGAACCACCACTCCTGTGGTTAGCATTCTAATGCATAGGTGTTAATAAGTGGGAGTTACCATTAGCTTGGCGTCCTAGTGTTGCACTGTGGGTTAATGCGTCAGACTGCAAAGCCATTTGGACTTCAAGGTCGGCAGTTCAAACTCACCAGCCGCTCCTTGGAAACCCTTTACAGGGTCGTTATGGGTCGGAATTGACTCAATGGCACTTAACAACAGCAACAATCATTAGATAGCAAATGGAACCCTGGTAGTGCAGTGGGTTAAATGGTGGGCTGCTAACCACAAGATCAGCAGTTCAAACCCACTAACTTCTCCAAGGGAGAAAACGGGTGCTTTCTGTTCCTGTCAGTCTTGGAAACCCGATGGAACTTTTCAACCCTGTCCTGTAAGGCACTATGAGTTGGAATCAATTTGATAATTGTTGTTAAGTGCTGTTGAGTCAGTTCCAACTCATAGGGACCTTGTATAGGGTTTCCAAGGAGTGGTTGGTGAGTTTGAACCTCCAATCTTGTGGTTCAGACCGACCTTGCGATTCAGTGCTTTATCACACAGCACCATACCAGGACTCCTTTTTCAGAAGCCAACTGAGTAGCGGGTATCATTAGCTAGGAATCCTTGGGTGGCGCAAGTGTTTAATGTGCTTGTCTGCTTTCTAAAAGGTTGATGGTTTGCACCCACCAGAAGCCCCTTGGGGATCTACTTCAGAAAAAACAGCCCTTTAGATCCCCTGTGAATCAGTTCTTCTGAAACCCATGGGGGTGCAAGAATCAGAATGAACTTGACAGCAATTAGTTATCATTAGCTGTGGTCACCCCTGGACACTTCTAACCATGAAATAATATTCCTTTATTCATCCAACTAGAAGATATTTTCTGAGTCCCATTCTGTACCAGGTCCTGTCTAGGTGCTGAAGATTTTAAATGGGAGCTACCATTATGGGGTGGGGGGAGAGATGAGAGGTGACACATGTGTAAACAGCTGGATAAAAGGAGCTGCTGGTAGGATTGCAAAGGTTGTGAAAGGCTGTGGGGCTGGACCTAACCAAGGTAGTCGGGGAGGTGGCATCTGAGCAGGTGACAGGTGAGCAACATTCTAAACGAGATGAGAGTATGATCCAGGCAGATATGTGAGCATCTTGGCTTCCAGGTAGATGAAACAGCAAGTGCCAATGTCTCGAGGCAGGAATGTGCTTGACTGTTGTAGAGAGCGCAGCGAGTGGGTAGGGGAGAAGTGGCCAGTCCCAGAGTGTCATGGCAGCTAGAGCTGGCAAGATCCCCACACCTTGGAGGCCACACTGCAACTCCCGAGCTATCTGGGACAGGGGTGAAGGTCTTCGGAATCTGTGAGTTTCCAAGTCTGTTATCTGATGGTTCTCCAACCTGACACCATGGGCTAAAAGGAGTCCCCTATTGCTCCATGGTCTAAGGCTCCTGATCTCATGCATGGGGAAAGAGGTGCTCAGTCTGTTGGTGACCCACTTCAGTTCTCATGCCTCTTTCTTCCTTCTTCTTCTTGTGCTCCTCAAAAATCAAGGTATTTGGAATGTATGTGTGTGCATGCACACATGAGTTATGGGCAGGTGTGTGCACACTCATCTGTGGGTGCTGGCATGGATAGAAGGAAGAGTCTAAAGGCCTGCCCTGGGCCAGGACGTGACTAGGAGGCTTTGAGTCAGGGGTTACCCTGTGAGGGAGTCCAGGGAGCTGGGAGAGGGATAGCATGGGACTTATGATGTGGGGGTTGGCAGCACAGGGTTTGGAGGGGTTGAGTTGAGGTAGAAGGGGGCATTTGGGAGATTTCAGGATTCTGTAGGGAACCCACCTCCAGTCATCCTTCAAGGGTGTCCTTGAGGTGTTCTGTGTCTGCAGAAACCTAGGGGTAGTCCCCAGGCCCTCAGAATAGTGCCCAGCACCCCCAAAGTTCCACATCTTCTGGGGTTCAGATCCTGGAGGCAACACCTCTCTTGGAATCCTTTGGTAACGCCAAAACTGTAAGGAACGACAACTCCAGCCGCTTTGGAAAGTTCATGGAGATCTTTTTGGAAGGGTGAGTAAGGAGGAGAAGGGGTACTCTGGCTTTGCAGTGTACCCCATCTGTGTACGCCTGCTCTACCACAGAGCCAACCTCTCCCCCCCACCCCAACTCCACTAGTTGACCTGTGTTCCCACCTCCAGGGGTGTGCTCTCTGGTGCCATAACCTCCCAGTACCTGCTGGAGAAATCCAGGATTGTGTTTCAGGTGGGTCATTGCCTCCCTGCTCTTGTGCATCAGCGTGGGGGTAGGAGGTGTGGCGGGAACAACTACGCAGAGCTAACACATAGCAGGCTGGCTAAATGCCAACTTCATGAACAAACAAGTATGTGTGTGTACACATATATTTGTGAGCACATGACCTACACACATACTCCTCTCTCCCCATATTGGACGCCTTCATTTTCCTGAAGCAAATCTACTGGTCCACCAGATACTCACATGGCTAAATCCCTAACCTCCCAATCTTCCCAGAATCGTCACATGCTTCAGGAAGCTCCCTGACTAGCACACCCCATCAGAACTCCCTGCCCTTCTCCTGCTCTAATTGTCTCCAAAACACTTACTGCCATCTGACAGCTTTTATACTGTAGACAGTGACATGTTGAGTGTCGGTGCACTCTTGTGTGGTCCACGCTGGTCCTTGAATTCTATGGGGTCTTTAGCTGTCTTGCTTCCTGCTGTGTCCTAGGACACATGAAGCACCCAGCCCACCTGACTGAGTGACCCTGGAGAAGTTCTATGCTCATTTGGGCCAGTATGTAGGTGTGTGTGGCCAGTGTACATCAGAGAGAAAATACCTTTTTACATTTTTCCAAACACCATAGAACCTGGTTTGGAGTCTGCTCCCCACCATCTATTACTGGCGTCCCTCCCCCCATGTCCCCACCCTGTCCCCAGCCTGTGCTAGGCTGGTGAAACTGGTTTGCCATATAGGGTGCTCTGCCTTGTCAGCAGCCCTTGTATGTGTGTGTTTGTGGGTGTGTCTGGGTCTGTGTGTATGTCTGTGTGAATTCCCTCTCTGGGCCCGCCTACCACTCTGCAGGCCAAAAATGAACGGAACTATCACATCTTCTATGAGCTGCTGGCTGGTCTACCCGCCCAGCAATGCCAGACCTTCAGCCTACAGGAGGCCGAGACCTACTACTACCTGAACCAGGTGGGCCCTTCTGAGAGCTCTGTTACAGGGCCTGTGGGAGTCAGGAGATACCAGGGAAGCAGGGACCAGGCTTCCTATGGCAGGAAGTAGAATAAGGGAAGCCCCATAGGCCTGGGCCTTCTGCTCCACTATTCTTGGGGCTGAACAAGCAGCCAAGTCATAGTGTCCTAATGGTCAGTAAAGGTGAAGGAATTTTAGGGAGGGAGAGTTTGGATTTATGAGTTTCATTGCAGCAACAGAAGTAGAAGTCTTTGTGGTTCAAAGTGGAAGGTATGGGAGGCCTACTTGACACTTCCGTGTTATGTAGCCTGTATGGGAACTAGCCAGCCTAGAGTTAACTATAGTGTGTCTTCTCATTTGTAAAGTGGGACAATATAGTGAGGATTAGATGAGTAAATGCCTATGAACACTTGGCACATGACCTAGCATGTAGTAAGTGCTCATTAAATGTTGACTACCGCTCTTCATTACCATGACAAAGATCAGAGTGTAACAAGCCCCTGCTACACGTAGCCCCACCGCAGCCATGCTCAGTCTCTGGCTGCCCTTTTTGTGACAAAAGTCTTGAGGAACTGACTCAGGGCTGATCCACCGATCAGGCAGAGCAGAGGCCTTGGAGGTCCAGGATTGCATCCAGAACCCCTGACCCACAGCCCCTGCCCTCACCCAGGGTGGGAACTGTGAGATTGAGGGGAAGAGTGATGCGGATGACTTCCGGCGGCTCCTGGAGGCCATGGAGGTGCTGGGCTTCAGCAGCGAGGACCAGGACAGCATCTTCCGCATCTTGGCTTCCATCCTGCACCTGGGCAATGTCTACTTTGAGAAGTATGAGGTGAGACAAGACCGTAGCCTGCGTGGATCCCACCACCTTAGGACCAGGCCCTCTTCTCAAAGGCTTAGCTGTCACTATCTTGCCGTTTCAGGCTATGCTATGCTCATATCGTTTGTCCTTGTTTAATTTGTGTTTTGTTTGGTGGCATTTGTCTTTATCTTAGTGCTGCACGAAAGCTCTTTTTATGTGTTAAGGAAATCAGCGCTTTGTATGAATTGCACGTATATTTTGCAGTCTGTTGGCTCTACTTCTACTTTTTTTTAGTGTGTTGGTTTGTTTGTTTTGCCATGCAGATCTTTTTTTTTTTTTTAAATTGAAACACTTCACTTCTTGATCTTGTGTAAACATTGAACTTCGCATCGTTTTCAGAGCAGTGACTTTATTTAAAAGTTATAACATTCTCCTCCCATGGTTTTACTCAAGACTTTTTATGGCTTTTTTTTTTTTTTTTTTAGTGTTTTATTGTGCATTATGTGATAGTTTGCATGGGAGAACATTAGTTTCACATTCATCCTATGGTGTTATCATTTCATTGGCATGGTTACAATCCCATCCATGCATCATCAACCAACCAGTCGTCTGCACACAGCCCCTCACCCTCTCTGCGTCTAGAGTCCCCAGCCACTCCATCTTTCCACGTCATCATCTCTGCCTCCATCTCTGGTGTCACTGCTTCTTTGTGTAGGGTCCCGCTTTCTGCTCTTCTCACTTGATGGTCACAGGGACCTCGGCTCCTGGACTACAAAGTCAATCACTCCCCTCCTTTTGCTGTAAAACGTCTACCTTTACATTTCCAACCCTCACCATCAGTCCTGATAACAATTGTTCATCATTGTACCACAAGGGACCTATCCCTATCTCCTTTCATTAGCCCCACCCAGACAGATTGGATACTACTCGTGGAGATTCTACCTTCCTCTGCACCCTCTGGATCTAGGTTCCCTCTTGAAAGCCTGTAAGCCAGTCACTTCTTGCCTTTGTAGTGCCCCCCCCACCTCCATCTTGGGTAGCCAATGTCCAAGTTGCCCATCCCTGTCTACTCAGTGTATGGAGGAGGTGGGAATGATCCTTGCTGTAAAGATTTGTTCTTTCTTTTGAGCTACTACATCCATAGGTGTAGGTCAAGTTCATCAAATTACTTTTTTTCCTCTTCTTTCTTCTTCTAGCTGAGCTCTGATCATCCAGTCATTGAAGCCAGGTCAAGTGGGTATTATCTGCAAGTGTGGGTATTCTTATGCATATGCCCTCTCTTCTTATCAACTGGATGCTTCACTCTCCACTCTAGTCCTCTGTGGCTATGTCAGTGACTCTGGGCCCAAGAGTCCCCAGGTCTTGCCACACTGCTGGTCAACCATGTCTCCACCCGGGTTCACAGGAGTCTATTGAACCTTGTAGGGCTTAGCTTGCAGCTTCATTGTTGTTTTTCCCTCACTTCCCCTTATCAGTGACCAACGTGGTCACCAATCAGAGCTCATGTCTGCTTGTGTATTCCCATTGAGTCTTAGTCTTGGAAGGTGGTTTGCTCTGAGGGGACCCAACCTCTTGCCTTGATGTCTCCTGGGCGAGCAACTTGCTTGTTCTTGTAGTAATTAGTCAGACTGCTGTTATTGTTTTGTATTTTTCCTGTGGATCTTTCTTTTAAGAAGCATCTTCTGTTTATCTAGCCACTGCAGGCTGGTCTGCTTGTTCTTTCAAATGGAAATTTCCCACCTCAGAAGATTCTGGATGGGGTTCAGGATTCCACCTATGGTCTTATGTAATGCAGAGGCTCTGCAGGAAGCCTCCTTGACTGGGAACGTTGTAGCCCCATTTTAGATATTCCAATCAGTTATAGGCAGAAGATGGACTTACAAGTTTTCTATAGTAATATTTCTGGCTATTCCTTTCTCTGCCTCTCAAGTGTCTATTTTATAATGGTATGCCAAGGAAACTAAGATTCAAAAGACAACCAAGCACCTTAACATTATTTCCCCCCTTTTGCCCATTCCAATCATGTCTCAATCCCTGAATCCCAGAGCCCTGTTGTTCCAAGGTTGTGCATACATCATTATTTACCTCTGTCCTACTTAGCCCATGCAAACCTGCCTAATTGTTTTCCCATCCGCTTTGTTCTTCCATTCCCCTCCCCCTTCTTGTGTATTGCTCCCCTCCCCAGCACCCAAAATTTCCTGTATCTATTCCCTACCCTGTGCTCCACCTTCCCCTACCTCCCCTAACCTCACCCCCACATCCTAGCAACCAACAAAGAATCTCCCCCACCTTTAGTATGGGTTCTTTTTCTTAGTCTTTTACAGTAGTGGTCCTATGCAGTATTTCTCCTTTTGTGACTGACTAATTTCACTCAACATAATATCCTCAAGGTTCATCCATGCTACACAGTGGTTTGCAGCTTCCTTGTTATTCAAAGTAGCACGATATTCCATTTTGTGTATGTACCACAGTTCATCAGTTCTTCAGTTGATGGGCATTAGACTGTCTCCATCTTTTTGCTATTGTAAATAGTGCTACTATGAACATTGGTGTGCATATAGCTACTCATGTTATTGTGGGTAAATACCAAATAGAGGAATTGCTGCATCATAAGGTATTTCTATTTCCAACCTTCTGAGGAAGTGCCATATTGCTTTCCAGAGAAGTTGGACTATTTTTCAATACCACCAGCAATGCAGAGGCATCCCAATCACTCCACATCCTCGCCAGCATTTATTGACCTCTACTTTTTTGGTCTTTGCTGTTATTGCTGGTGTGAGATAATATCTCACTGTTGTTTTGATTTGCATCTCTCTAATGGCTAGTGATCGTGAGCATTTCTTCATATGTTTGTTAGCTGCCTGGATCTCCTCCTTGGTGCCTGTTCATGTCCTGAGCCCATTTTTTAATTGGGTTATTTGTCTTTTTCTTGTAGAGGTGTTGTAGTTTACTATATATTTTAGAAATGAGTCCCTTGTCTGATGTGTTGTTGCATAAAATTTTTCCCCATTCTGTGGGTTCCCTTTTTACTTTTCTGGTGAAGTCTTTTGATGCACATAAGTTTTTAATTTTTAGTATGTCCCAATCATCTATTTTGCCTACTTTTGTTTGTGTAGTTTTCAAAATGTTTGGTAGTCTGTGTATTCCCTGAATTAGTGCCCTCACATTTGGACAAATTGATGGTCTTCATAATAATGGGATTCACATTTAGATCTTTAATCCATGCTGAGTTGGTGTTTGTATAAGGCATGAGGTGAAGGTCTTGTTTCAATAGTTGCATATCACTTTCCAGTTCTGCCAGCACCATCTGTTGAAGAGACTATCCCCTCCCCATGTGATATATTTAAGTACTTTATATAAAAAATCAGTTGGCTGTGGGCAGCGGGTCCGCACACACAGTGCTGGTGGGGTTGTTGCTGGCTGGAGCCCTCTCGCCATGGATAACGCGGGAAATGTGCTTCAGATGTTTGAGGCCCACATGCAGAACTACAAGGGTGACCGATCCACTTGGTGAATGGGAAAGTTACATGCATTGGGTAGAAAAGAACTTTCCTGAAAATAAAGAGTACTTGGCAATGTTATTACAACATTTAAATCAAAGGAATTTTTAGATAAGATGCAATATCACAATGACTCAAGATTTATCAATTACTGTTCAAAATTTGCTGAGTACAACAATGACCTTCATCAGTTTTTCGAGTTTCTGTACAACCATGGGATTGGGACCCAGTCATCGCCAGTGTACATACATAGCCTGGGCTGGGCATCTGGAAGGCCAGGGAGAGCTGCAGCATGCCAGGGCTGTGTTTCAGAGAGGAATTCAGCAGCAGGCGGAACCTCGGGAGCTACTGCAACAACAGTACAGGAACGCCTGAGGGCCTTCACAAACCAGACAGTGGGTGAATTCCTCATGGCCAGATACCAACCACTGCCAAGCAACAGGACCAGCCAGCCAGAAGAACATGCCAGATACACAGTTCCCTCCTCTTCGCCCCCTTCCAGCAGGAAGCAGCTCCAGAAGGGATGACCTCCGCCCCTGTACTCATAACAACAAAAGGCTGGAATGATAGAATCTCTCATCCACGTGCATAATAAAATGGCTGCTTGCCACACTTTAGCTCTCCTTCCTGGAACCTCTCTTCCTACCTACTGGAACTTCCTCTCTCTACCTGCACAGCATCCCTAGTCAACCTATCACCTACTTCCACTACTCTCAACCGCGCCCTCTTTAACCAGTATAAAAATCCCTCTCCAGCAACACGTGCTCTCTCTTGCTCTCTTTCCTCCTGACCCTCAATAAACCCTTACACGTGGGGGGGCGGAAATCAGTTGGCTGTACATGGATGGGTTAATTTCTGGATTCTTGATTCTGTTCCATTGATCAATGTATCTTTCATTGTACCAGTACCAGGCTGTTTTGACCACTGTAGCCATGTAATAAAATTTGAAGTTGGGGAGTGAGATGTTTCCAACCTTATTCTTCTTCTTAAGCAGTGCTTTGCTTATCCTGCATCTCTTTCCTTTCCACATAAAGTTTGTAAAATTGTTTTTTCCATCTCTTTGAAGAATGTCGTTGGACTCTGGATTGGGATTGCATTATATGTGTAAATTGCTTTGGGCAGTATGGGCATTTTCACAATGTTAATTCTTCCTATCCAGGAGCATGGTACATTCTTCCATTTTTGTAGGTCTCTTTTGGTTTCTTGTAGTAGTGTTTTGTTGTTTTCTTTGTATAGGTCCTTTGTTTCTCTGGTTACATTTATTCCTAGATATTTCATCCTTTTGGCAACTATTGTAAATGGTATTGCTTTCCTAATGTCCTTTTCAGTGCTGTTATTTTGGTATAGAGGAATCTAACTGATTTTTGTATGTTGATCTTGTATCCTGCCATTTTGCTGAATCTAGTAGTTTTTTTTTTTTTTTACTGAGTCTTTGGGGTTTTCTGTGTATAGGATCATATTGGCTGCAAAAGAGAGAGTTTTACTTCCTCTTTGTTATGGCTTTGTTTTACATTTAAATCTTTCATTCAT